AATTTGTAGCAGTATTAATTGATTGTTGTGGTTAAGTGCCTTAGGTTGGCTTCCGACTCATAGTGACCCTATATAGGGTTTCCGAGGAGCAGCTGGTGAGTTTGAACCACTGTCCTTGAGGTTCAAACCAACCCTGCAGTCCAGCGCACTATCCCACAGTGCCACACCAGAACTCCAAATGTATTGATTAGTAAATATTTTTTGACTTTATGTGAAATGGACTCATGGTTTGTACTCTTTCAAGGCTGACTTCTTCCATACAACCTTTTGCTTGAGATATTTATCCATATTGTTGAAGTTGTAGGTTTTTGTTTGTTTTATACTACACTATTTTATTGCCAGCATTTTTATATCAGTCTAAATGCCATAAGGAGTTCTGGTGTGGTGCTGTGGACTAATGCGTCAGACTGCAAAGTTGTTTGAACTGCAGGTCGGTGGTTCAAGCTCACCAGCTGCTTCTTGGAAACCCTATACAGTGTCGCTATGGATCGGCATCAACTCAACGGCACTTAACAACAACAAAATGCCATCAGGGAGTGTAGTAGGTAAATGCTGGACATGGAACCAGAAGGCTGGTGGTTTGAGCACACTAGCCACTCCATGAAAGAAAGATGAAACTTTCTGCTCCCACGAAGATTTCACAGCCTCAGAAAACCTACACAGGATCCATATGAGTCAGTAGTGACTCCACAGCACTTATCAACAACAAATACCATTAAGTGTAAATGCCAAAGTGTAAAATGTCATAGTGTCACTTTTGTCTACATTTATAATCTTTAATGTGAAGTAACATGATCATGTTTTCCTACCTTCAGTGGTTATTTATGGTTGTTTCGTGGTGAAAATGGAGTCCTGAGATACTACTGAACTATTAACCCTAAGATAAGCAGTTCAAGCCCATCAGTGCCTCCTCCATGACACTTCAAAACAACAACAACTGTGAAAATGATTGTTTATCACTTTTGTATTGTGATGCTAGTTACTCTTTTGTGAATAAACCTTTTGCCTTTGGCAATTGAATAGGCCACATTTGTCTTGCATTATACAATAGAAGTGTGACTTGTTTCTTCACTGACTCCCAAATGGTCAATTAAGACTAGAAACTACACTCTTGGCAAGGCAACATGTTTCCCTTCTGGAGCTCCTGTGGTTGTAGGGCCATCATCCTTAGTAGTGATAAAAGAAACATGATACATACATTCCAGATAAAATGTTGACCAGTTGACTATTTGGAGCCCCGGGTATAGAGTTTCTCTAATGTTAAAGCTGGCTTACATAGGATTGACACATACAAAAATATGAGACAAAAAGAACCACTATGCTGAGGTTTCCAAACCTAGTTAGACCAGTGTGCTCTTATAAGAAATACCAATGCCTGGCCCCTTCCCAAGATCCTAATTTAATTGGTCTGGGAAGAGTCCTGAGTGTTAGTATTTTTAACAGGGCCCCAGATGCGTCTAATGGGTAGCCAACATAGAGACGCAGTGCAATTTCTGACTCCTCAGGTGATAAAGTCAGTTTTACCGAATAGCTCTGTTTTAGGCAGTAGGTAGAGATTTGGTGTCATTTCAGAAGCCAAGAAATGAGCCAATGTCTTGATATAAAGACAAATATAGGAAAGACATCCTACTGAGCAATACCAGAAATTTCACTTCTAAAACAATTTCTTATACTTGCTATTTTGATTCATAACAAATATAATCCTAGAAGGGCCAGTATTTAGCAACTGAATATGATTAAGCTTGTAAGATCAAATTTTTGAGAGATTACAGTAATAGAATGTGAGAAATAATTTTTGTGGACGTAGTCCATCTTCCAGAATTCATGAGATTGCTAGGCCTGACAAACAGATTGTTGATTTACATACAGGGAGGGATGTGTAACCTGGCTGCTCTAGGACTAGGAAATATAAATAAGAATACAGCCATTAAAACAATGGGCAAGCCTTTTTTGGCTTCTTTGGGGGGGAGGAAAAATGCGACATGCTATAGAATCCTATAAGGAGCTCTGGTAGCGTAGTGGTTACAAATCGGGCTGCTAACCTTAAGGTCAGCGGTTCAAAACTACCAGCCGCTCCATGGGAGAAAGATGAGGCTTTCTACTCCCGTAAAGATATATACCCTCGGAAACCCTGTACAGGGTCGCTATGGGTCGGAACCGACTCGACGGCACTTAACAACAACAACAATAGAATCCTACTATATGGGGAACTGGAACTGGAGGAGGGGCTTTTGAAGACAAGTATAAAAACACGCCATATGGCGTGTCTGCCTTTGTCTATGGGGCAAAATTGAATAAAGAAAACCTCACTCTCCCTAAAATGAGTACAGATTGGATTACTTGAGCGTTTGTCAGTATAGACAACGTTTCTCACATAGAAGAAGAAATGTTGGGGCCATACTGGGTTAAGGAGTATAATAAGAAATTGAGGTGTATAATCAAACAGTACATATTTTATAAACTTGTCCAAGGTCCTAAAGAATCCTAGGGCTGTTTAGGCTGTAGTTTTCTCTTGTGAGCCCCTTACAAGTCTTGCAAGGGAAAGTTTAAAAGTGTTTCAAAAAGTGCAGTCGCCTGGCATGTCATATAGAAGCCAATTGAAAGAGCTGGAAATATTTGAGCAACAAAATATATAAAGTAATATTGGCTGTAACAAATAAGTGATAGAGGAGATAAATATATGGGGGAGAATAAATTTTTCACAGATAATTTTAAATATTGTGTGGAGAGATCTCAAAAACCTTGTAGAAAAGTATAATGAAAATAGAATTTTTCCACAAACTTTTTGAAGTCCTCTCATTTGTAGATATTCCTTATCTCTTAAGTGTGGTTTATATATCGTGCTTTCCATCCAGAGAGCATGGAAGCATGATAGAGATGGGTGGATAGCACGTGTGTAACTGTTCAGGTGAGAAATAAGACAAATATTGTCTGCCATCATTCATGTTCATAGCATGTACTCTTGATCGATCGATGTGATTAAAATGGCACTTCATCTCTATGATCTTCCTTCCCAAAATGCTTAACTCCAATCTAATCATGAGGAGGAGTTCTGCTATGGTGCTGTAGGATAAGTACTAGCCCACAAGGTCGGTTTGAACTTCAAGATTGGCAGTTTAAAACCACCAGTCCGTTGCTTCTTGGAAACCCAAGGAAATGACTCAATGGCACTTAACCACAACAACAAATCATGAGAAAGGCATCAGCTAAATTGTCACTTTTTATAGCTGTGATTACTGTGCCCCATCTCTGTTTTTCAGCTATTCTATAACTTGTTTTTGTTAGTTGCCATCAACTCGGTACCCACCCATGGCGACCTTATGCACAGCAGAACGAAACACTGCCCGATCCTGGGCCAACCTCACTACTATTGCCATGCTTGAGTACACTGATGCTGCCACTTGGCTAATCCATCTCATTGGGGGTGGGGGTGGGGGGGTCTTCCTCTTTTTCTCTGATCCTCAACCTTACCAAACATGATATTCTATAACTATGATCTCCAAAACCTTTCCCGGAGTCCTGGTGTGGCACTGTGGGTTAATGCGCTGGACAACAATGTCAGTTTGAACTGCAAGGTTGGCAGTTCAAGCTTACCAGCTTCTCCTCGGAAACCCTATACAGCATTGCTGTGAGTTGGAAACTACTCCATGACATATAACAACAACAACAAAAGCCCTTCTCAGACCCCATTGTGTTCATGTCTTTCACAACCTCTCTAGTACACACATCTCCACCATGCCAATAACCCCAAAACCTAGTCATATACTAATTTGTGTATTCCTAGAGACCAGAGCATGAATTCCCTGGAGTCTGAGTATTCCATCTGCCAGATAGTAACCCTGGGCAATCATTTGACTCCTTTGTACTTGAGTTACTTCATTTGTGATTTGAGAATATTAAAAGAGTATCCAAATCATGGATTTTTGTAAATTAATACTCTAACTTACTTAGTATCTAGTACTTACTAAAGATCCAATACAGCCATGTTTTGAAGATAGCATGTTAGGTTCCAGACCACTACAATAAAGTGAGTGTGGCAATAAAGCAAATCACACAAATATTTGGGCTCCCAGTGCATATCAAAATTGTTGTTGTTGTTATTTTTAAGTGCTGATGAGTTGTTTCCAGCTCATTGTAACCCTGTATAGGAGCAGCTGGTGAGCTTGAACAGCACCTCAAAAGTTACGTTTATGCAATACTGCAGTCTATTAAGCATGCAGTAGTTTTATGGAAAAAATTGAAATGTTATGTTACCAAAAAGTAATACAGAAACACCAAGTAAGCACATGCTGTTGGAAAAAAATGGCACTAATAGACTTGCTCCATAAAGGGTTAACACAAATTTTAATTTGTAAAAAGCTTAAGTAAAAAAAAAACAAGTGCAATAAAATGATACAAACCATTGGAGTTAGTTCGATTATTAGTGATAGGGGCATTACTTTTTCATTTTCCCTTTGCAGTTTTGTTTGCTAAGTAATGGCTCAATTAAGAGGGAATGAAGAGAGTGGATTGAGCTCATAGACCCTACTTCAAACTCAGTGACTCCCCAGTCCCCACACCTAACAGTCTTCCGTGACACCTTAAACTTGAATTGCAGTGTTGCAAACCATGTATTTTTAGAATCATCCTAGAGAATTGATTGCGGAATATATAAAACCTGTGAGTGAATTTATTTTGCACTCCACCACCTTGTATAAATTATACTACTATCAATGTGTCATACTATTTTATTCTGATCATTGATTGTTCCAATTTCAATATAATTCCTAAATTACAAGTATTGATTGTCTTTTATGCTAATAGAGTTTCTATTAACATAACAGTCAACAGCTATTTGGGATCTAAAACAAGGATTGTGCTAGCTAGCACCTGGTGGGTAAATATGTTTGAGTAACAGTTTTACATTTTGCTTATTTGCTGTTTGTCACAGGTTAAATTGAAACTCAACAGTTTACATGCCATAAATACACAAGCCTTAGGTGTTTGGGTTTGTTTTCCAGATGGGGATTAACGTGGTGGACTCTGCAGTATCCGGATTAGGTGGTTGCCCTTATGCCAAAGGCGCCTCTGGGAATGTTGCCACTGAGGATTTAATATATATGCTTAACGGCCTGGGGCTCAATACAGTAAGTTACTTTAATGTATTTTAATATCCATAGTTCCTGGTAGCTCAATTTGGAATGCTTTGGAATATTTGGGAAGTGCTTTTTGAGGTCAAAGTTTTACTGCACTTTTGCTAGTTGCTAAAATACACATGGGGCAAATATAATAGAAATTATTGGGAGTCTTTATAAAGTAACTTATTACTATACTCAATTACCAATAATTCTCCTCATTACCTAAATTTTATAGTGCTGCATGACCTCTCAAGTTCTTCTTGAAAGTACATCTGATTTCACGTCTCATACTCAAGTTTATGTCAGTGCTGTTGTGACTTGCATTTTGCAGTTTCGTGTTTTGCATGGGTGTTTAATTTGGAGAAGTCAGATATTGATTTTCTCACAGTGACAACTAGGGCTTCTGGAAGAGAAACAAGGACACTTTGAAATGGTCAGTGGAAGAGATGAACTCACAAATACTTCAGTATGTGAAACATTTCATGGCAAGAAGTAGTCTCTTTACAAGTAGTACCTGAAAAGCTGGGGTCCTGGTAGGGTGGCACTGTAGGGTAAAAACTAGACTGCTAAATGCAAGGTCAGTGGTTCAAACCCACCAGCCACCCCTGGGAAATCCAATACATGGTCATTATGATTCAGAACAGACTTGATGGCAATAAACAACAACAACTAGAAAAGTCATGTGCTCTTTAATGACATCCACCAAAATTAGCACCTTGTCTTCTAACACACTTGTAAGCATAATTTGTTAGTCTATAAAGGTAAATGTAGAAATAAAAGACAAGGAAACTATGCGCAGATGATTGTTGTTGTTAGATGCCTTTTATCAATTCCAACTCATGGGAGTCCTATGTGACAGAGTACAACTACCCCAAAGAGTTTTCTAGACTATAATCTTTGTGGAAGCAGATTACCAGATCTTTCTCTTGTGGATCCAACTGCTAGTCTTTCTGTTATCAGTTAGTGCTTAGCCATTATGCCACCAAGGCATCTTCCACAGATTACTAGACATTCAAAATATTTTTGAGCTATAAACTCATCATTGGATTACAAAATTACAAGTTCCCTTTCTACCTCTCCTGTCTCTACTCTTGTTTCACTCTACTTACATTGATGCTCATGTATCACTTTGTTTATAGTCCGCATTTCTGCACCATTTTATTCCTCACCTTCACTCCTTGCTCATGCTTTTACCGTTGCATGGAATGGCCTGATTCATGATACTGATTTCCTCTGGTAAGTGAAACATCACTATCCTCAAAAAATCTTTCAACATCTTCTTGCCCACCAACCTGTCCCAATTCATCATATACCTCTCGTCAGTGTTCCCAAGCTTGCTTATGTGTCTCTGCCTCTGAACCTATAATGAAGTTGTATAATTATCTTGCTTATATTTCTAGCTCCCCCTGTAGCCAGAGAGCAATTATTATTACAGCTTACAAATATTTGGTGCTTATTGGCTTGTGTGTGCTGTGTGCCATGAAATTGGTTCCAATTCACAGTAATTCTATATGTGACAGTAGAACTGTCCTATAGGGTTGTCTAGGCTAAGATCTTCATGAAGCAGATCACCAGGTCTTTTCTTCCACTGAGAGGATGGTGGAATCTAACTGCATAGAAATGCTCAATAAATGTTTATTGAAAATATGATTTCACTATAAGTAAATACTAAAGCTATTGCCTACCTTCTTTGGTAAGGATAAATACCATTTCATTTGCAGAGTTGTTGTTAGGTACCATCAAGTCAGTTCTAAGTCATATTAACTCTATGTACTACTGCCCAGCATGCCAGGTTGTATCATTTGCATAATGCAGATTGTTACTGAGTCTTCTTCCTATCCTGATACCATGTTCTCCTTCTTATATTCCAATTTCTCAGACTATTTGCTCAGCATATAGATTAATTAAGTATGTTAGAAGAATACAACCTTGCACATAACTTTTCTGATTTTAAACCATTCAGTATCCCCTTTTCCTGATCTAACTGGCTTCTTGTTCTATGTACAAGTTTCTCATGAGCACAGTTAAGTGTTCTGGAATACTTGTTCTTCACAATGTTATGATCCACACAGTGGAATGGCTTTGCAATCAATGAAGCACTTAATAAAGTAAACATCTTTCTGGTATTCTCTGTTTTCAGCCAAAACATCCATCCAGCCACGATGTCTTTAATTCAACACGCTCTTCTGAATCTGACTTAAATTTCTGGCAACTCCCTGTCAGTATACAGCTACAGCCATTTTTTTAATTATCTTAAGCAAAATTGTTATTTACATGAAATAATAATGATATTGTTCAATGATTTCTGCATTCAGTTAGGTCACCTCTCTTTGGAATGGGCCCAAATATGGATCTCTTCCAATTGGTTAACCAGATAGCTGTCTTCCAAATTTCTTGGCATAGACCAGTGGGTGCTTCTAGTGTTGCATCAGTTTGTTGAAATATTTCCATTTGTATTCTGTCATTTCCTGGAGACTTGTTTTTGCCAATGCCTTAGTGCATCTTGGACTTATTCATTCAGTACTGTTGGCTCTTGATCATATGCTAACTTGTGAAATGATTGAACATTGACCATTTCTTTTTGGTACAGTAACTCTATATGTGTTCCTCCCATCGTCTTTTGGTGCTTTCTGCATCTTTCAAAAATTTTACCCATAGAATCCTTCAGAATTTCAAGTTGGGGCTTGAATTTTTTTTTTTTTTTTTTCAGTTAGCGTAGTGGTTACGAATCGGGCTGCGAACCTTAAGGTCAGCGGTTTGAAACTACCAGCTGCTCCGCAGGAGAAAGATCAGGCTTTCTACTCCCGTAAAGATTTACACCCTTGGAAACCCTGTACAGGGTCGCTGTGGGTCGGAACCGACTCGACGGCACTTAACAACAACAACAACAACAACAACAAAGCTTGAGAAATGCTGAACGTGTTCTTTACTTTAGGTTTTCCTACACCAGGTCTTTGCACATTTCATTGTAGTATCACACTTCATTTTCTTAAGCTGCCCTTTGAAATTTTCTGTTTAGCTCTAGTACTTCATTTCTTCTGTTTGCTTTTTCTCCTCTGTTCAACAGCAATTTTCAGAGTCTCTTCTGATACGCATGTTTGCCTTTTCTGTCTTTTTAATGATCTTTTACTTTCCACAACTCTTCTGGCTTCAGTCATCAAATTTGTTCTTGACGTGGTCTCTAAACTCAAATGGGAGATATTATTCAAGGTCATAGTTTGGTTCTTATGGACTTGTTTTACTTTTCTTCAGCTTCAGTGAGAATTTGCATATGAGCAATTGATGGTCTGTTCCACAGTCAACCTTTGGCTTTGTTTTGACTGATGGTGTCAAGTTTCTCCATTGTTCCTTCCCACAGATGTAGTGAAAGCAATTCCTGTGTATTCCATCTGGTAAAGTTCATATATATGTTGTTGAGAAAAGGTATTTGCAATGAAAAGGACATTAGTGCTGCAAAATTTGTATTGCCAAGTCCCTATTTTCCAACTACTGATACTTCCCCTTTGTTTCAAACTTCCACATTCTCGTCACTAATAATTATCAATGCACATTGATTGCCTCTTTAATGCATTTCAGGCTAAAGATGTTGCAGATTTCTTGTTTCATCATCAATGGCTTTAGTGATTTGTGCATAAATTTGAATAATAGCAGTATCAAATGGTCTTCTATGTAGGTGTATGGATATTAGCCTATCACAGGCAGCAGTGTATGTCAAGGTAGATCTTGAAGTGGTCTTTTTGACAATGAATGTGACAGCATTCCTCGTCAATGTGTCATTTCTCGCATACTGAAACATAAAATTATCCAGTTCAAAATGGTCAATACTTGTCCATTTCAACTCACTAATGCTTAGGATATTTATCTTTATGCATTCTATTTCATTTTTTCTGACTTCCAGTTTTCTTACATTTCATATTGCAATTATTAAAGAGTGTTTGCAACTTTCTTCTCATTTTGAGTTGTGCCCCATCAGTCAATGAAGATCCTGAAAGCTTTGCTCTACTCATGCCATTAATTCTACTTTGAGGAAGCAACTCTCCCCGAGTTGTATTTTGAGTGCCTTCCAACCTGAAGGTCTCATCTTCCGGCATTGCATCAGACAGTGTTCTCCTATTTATAAAGTTTCAGTGTCTAGCCATCAGAAGTTATCCACCTCTCATTGTGCCTAGTCTGTCTTAGTCTAGAAGCTTTGCTGAAACCTGTCCACCCTGGGAGGCTCTGCTGGTATTTAAAATATCAATGGCATAGTTTCCAGCATCACAGCAACACAAAAGCCACCACAGTACAATAAGCTGACAGATAAATTGTGGATTTTCAGAGTAGCTTAATTATTTTAGAAGTGCATGGCCATTACAAAATCTGAAGAGATACAGATTCTTTCTTGAAGATTTAGATAATTGAACTGAATTCAATTGACCTAACCAAACCCAATCTATTTTTATTGAGTCAATTCTGACTTACAGCAACTATAAATCTTTATGGAAGCAGACACAAGAATTTTTCTCTTGTGGAGTCGTTGGTGGCTTTGAACCTCCGAGCTCGTGGTAAGCAGTCCAATCCTTATCCCGCTGACAGCTGATACTTAATATCTGCCAGACTGCATTCTAGAACTTGGTCTATAACTTATTAAGGCATAGCTCCTTTCCTAAGAATTTCATAATTCAAGGAGGTTTTGTTACACTGAATTGTAGCCACCACTCAGCTGCTTACCCCTAACCCAAGGTGTTCCATTACTAACAGTCACTCCCAAGACTTTTAAATATTTTAGTTTTCCCCTTCCTTTCTATGCATACTATGACTGCTTAAGCACAAGCCTTGTCTCTTTCCTAGGCATTCAGCCTCCACAGTGGTCTGTCATCCCCCAGATTGCTACTGGAAGGTTTCTAATGTAATGAGTATCTGAATATGTCACACTTGAGTACCTAGCAGTGAATTCTCATTTCCTGAAATCTAAGTTGTGCCTTATCACATACTCTGGTCTATTTATCCTTTCTAGGTTATTTCTGTCTATCATTTCCTATATGTATTATGGTATTTCTCACATGTCTTCTGCTGCTCTTCTCGCTACCTGCAGTGTCTCTTCCATTTTCCTCTAAATGACTCATACTCTCCATGTAAGACTTAGGATTCTTCCTGGCATCCTTCTCTGACACATTCCTCTTCACTGTCTTTTTCTCCCTGCACCTCTGACCTTATGATCACCTAGACATATCTCTACAGCACAAGCTTTTATATTTATGGGTTCATGTTGTCTGCTAGACCATAAATCCCCTATGAAGAAGCATATTTTACTTGAGCTTCTAAAAATCTCAAAATCCATCATAGAACAGGAGACATATTTAAGCAGCAGATAAATGACTTCAGAATACAATATGATAAAAGTTCCAACAGCTAAAGAAAAAAAAAAAAGAATACAGTATGATTTCATATTATTATTATTTAAATAAAATGTTAGAAAAGGACACAAACTAAATTCTTCTTTTATATGATTTTCACAAAATCTGCATAATTATTTTCAATGGAATTCTTGGAAGACGAAGAAAAACACTGGAAACTAAAATTCTCCTATGATGCCTTGCTAGGGGCTAATTCATAATTGAAAGACACATGTAGCTAATTATTTACAAAATTTAAATATCATTGGAGTAAAAATGCTTAAGTCAAATGCACATAACAAATATTCCATATGAGACCATTTCAGTGACAAAACTAAACTCATAAACAAAAGCTAATGTCATGAGGACATGTTATAATGAAATCAAATAATGAAAATGATTCACAAGTATTATAAAAAAAAAAACTTTTCTAGGTCATTTTTAAAGAGAGAGAAGTTAGTAACAAAGAAGACGGTTCTGTAAAAGTCTCTAGAGAAAATAAATTGGCTGTATTTAAGCATATGGAATTTCTAAAATTATAGTTATTGTTATGTGTATTTCTTTAAAAAGAAAAAAGACAGATTTTATAAAGATTAAAAACTATCCCTTAATAGCAAAGATAACAGAGTCTGTTCATTTTAAACCCACAATGATTCTGGCCTATGTCGAGGTAGGATATAGAAGGTTATAAAATGCAACATGGGGCAAATCTCTGCTTAAGCCACTTTATGTTCTCCCTCTACCAGTGACAGCAGAGGTGCTGGATGGGGCCTTATGGTGACCTTCCATTACAGCAAGTTCCACCAAGACGGAGATATGAGTGAGGCACATAGCCTGAACTTGGCCTTCATATCCAACTTCAGACCTGTCATCCATGGATTTACCTAAGCCTTTGTTGATCCTATTTATGCTTTCAGATGGTACAACCACTCAGGCAAACGTGTTCCAGATGTGTACTAAATACTACTTTATTTTATTTGACCTACAACTACCTCCTTCAATATTACATCAAGAATGGTATTTCTTGAAAACACATAGGTATTCACATTTTGAGCATTCTTCATGGCTTTGTTCAGTAAAGTGTTTTTTATTGTGTTTGCTTTTTTTTCTAAGCTAGTTCTTATCTATGCATTCCTATAAATTATTATCTTGTTAATTTTCCTTCACTGATGTTTTGTTCATTGTTTCTAGTTCATTGTCCTTCTTAGGGTTTAGGTAAGAGCCTGATTGAAACAGGCAGTTTGTGATCTGAAGGTTGGCATTTGAACCAGCCTGAGTTATACTGAATTATTTAGGTGTAGCTCTCCTATAGTTAATACAAAGGAATGATTTAAGATCTATTTTAATTAAGCAGAAAAATGTAATAAGTGGCCACATGATTCATGAAAATAAATGATGTACAAAAGTCTGTTATAAAAAGCATTTTATTTGTAACTACTAATACAATTAAAAATAATCTGTTTTGTCTTCTCTCTCCCTAACTTCCCTTTCTTCCTGATGTCCCTTTTTTCCCTCACTAGGGAGTGAATCTTTACAAGGTGATGCAAGCTGGTGACTTTATTTGCAAAGCTGTGAATAAAACCACAAATTCAAAAGTAGCACAAGCCTCCTTCAATGCTTGACTTGAATGAATTTGCAACTTAAAGCTGAGAAGATCCATTTGAAGTACATATATTCATCTGAAAGTCATTACTGTCAACTTGTTCTGAAATGTGAAGTAATAGACAAGAGTGGGGGGAAAAGGAATACTTTTTTTAAAGGGTAGAGCTGGATAGATTATGAAGTCAGAGGAAAGAAAAACCAGTCATCAAGTAAATTGCAAGCTGAGGATACATAATAAAACTTATAGACATGCTTTTGAATTTGGAAAAAAAAAAAGTCTACTTTTTTGCTGTTATAGAAATAACGTTTTAATTTAGTAGACGTGAAAATTGACTTCAGATTTCCCTAAGTATCAAATTTCATGTTAATACTTAATCAAGCTGGTTTAGTACAGTGTACATATTGTCAGTAGTTTATGAACTCCTCTGCATAGTGTGCAAAGTGTGTGGCCTGAATATTATGCATTATGCCTTGGATCTCAACTTTCCATTTGCCAAGTCAGTTAAGTTATGGACCAAGAGCCAAATCTCCATCTGACCTTACATAATTTTTAGCAATAGAACTTTTATATTTCTAGTATGGCTAACATCTGTTAACTATTTCTATGACTTTATCTTGTTCCAAGAGGCTGTGGTCAATGGCAATATGCCATATCCTAGAAACATATTACAGCCTCCTGTGTTTGTTACAGGCATCCAGTTTACCATACTTTCCCTTTCATCAGTTGAATTAAAAACCGATATATATATATATATATATGTATATATATATGGTGTATTTTGCATCCTGATATCTAAATTGCAGTAATGAGTATAGTTGATATATGTGCCATAATGCATTTGTATACTTTTCAGATCACTCCCAAGTTGCCTAAGGAAATATCGTTGTGATCCTAGAAATATTTAAGATCGTTTTAACTAATGAAATAAGGTATTTTCCATGGATTCCATGTACTTTGATTAAATTATTCCATATTTTTGGTTGTGTTTTTCCTATTTTGAAAGTCAAAGTGTCTGAAATTGTATCTGTTGTACTGGAAAGCACTGCCAGAAATAACAAAAATTAATAAAAAGAGGTTGAGAAGAGGAGCAAGACGACTGTGTTAAGAAAAACATTTTTGTAACCTATGTAAATCATTTAGGGACAATGAAATCCAGTTCTATTATTTATATAGAGTTCAACAATACTGGGTGATTTCATCTTTGAATAAATTTGTATATAACCTGAAATATGAAAGTGAGCATTGTAGACTTTCTATTAGATATTCATCAATCCCACTGAAAGGACCTCTGGTAGCGTAGTGGTTACGAATCGGGCTGCGAACCACAAAGTCAGCAGTTCGAAACTACAATCTGTTCTGCAGGAGAAAGATGAGGCATTCTCCTCCCATAAAGATTTACAGCCTCGAAAACCCTGTACAGGGTCGCTATGAGTTGGAACCGACTCCACGGCATACAGCCACCATCACCAATCCCACTGAAGTAAAAAAAAGAAATTTAAAAAATACGAGAATTGCTGACTGAAACAAAGTTAAGTTTCAAGATAGACAGTAGGAGAATTGTTGCAAAGGGAAGCATAATAGGAATTGACAAAACCAAACTAAGTTCCCATGGAGACCACCTTATCTGATTGCGAAGCAGTAGCTGTGACATCATGCTTGTCTTCAGCATACTGAGTAAACCCTTTACATCCAGGATTAGTGTGGGGAGATGGGCAGTGCCAGGAACAGTTATGGATCTGCCTTGGACACTTCTTCCTTAGATAGAAGCCATGTGGAGATCATCTTTGAACCAAGGAACCCCCTGTCGTGAGAAGGTGAAACAAGGATTTTGCCTACAGTGGAGAAAGCATACTCTGATTTGGACTTCTAGCCTTCTGAAGAGTGAGAAAAGAACTTTCTTTAAAGCCACTCGCTTGTGATATTTCTCTTATAGCAGCAATGCATGACTAAAACAGCATCTGATGATGAAAACTGTTTGGACAAAAACCTAAGGGGAAAAGGTTTTCAAATAAAGACCATGGATGCTTCAGAAATGAAAGCAAGTCAGAAACCCCAGTTGCAGCCAAATACACACTTACATGGCATTCAGGACAGTCTACCTATTCATTTGCAAAAATAATGTGATCCCATCCAATTATGTTTACACAGGCAATTTGCATTTTAGGTATCTAATGTCTTTCCTTCACTCAGCATGGTCTTACACCCTCTGCTAGGTTGAAGAAAGCTGCTTTTTTGGTTTCAAAAAGAAAGTCACATAATCACATAAAGATGCCTAAATTCCACAGGTAGAATCCATCCAAAGCTATATTTCAAACAACCAGGAAACCTTGGAATCATTTCAGGACCCACCCAAACAACCCATGCATACTATATAGGTGCCAGACTGAGCCTTGGCAAAAGGGTTTGGAATGGCAAAGCAATTATGATTTTTATGCAAGTCAAAATAGTGTTCCATAACACCTCACTTAAGGGAAATATCCTTCCCATGTTCTAGAATATGGAATATATTCAGTACATGTATCTACTGCTGACCTATTGTAGCCTAGGACTTTAATCATTCTCTGAAACCCAGAAAAGTTATAAGTTTTAGATTCATGAAGTTTTCAAAGCAAATAAATGGTTGCTAACTATGACTTTTTGGAGAAATCCTGAATGTCCTTTATGTGTTATTTGTAACAATTAATTCCCACTAGTTTGGAGTTCTGGTGGTGTAAGATAAGCATTGAACTGCTAGCCACAAGGTCAGCGGTTCAAACACAGAAGCGGCTTCTCAGAAATCCTCTACAGAGTTGCTTAGAGTTGGAGTTGACTCAATGGCACTTAACAACCAGTTGTACTTATACAGTTATTCATCTCCATAAATGTACATCTATAGTCTGTGCCTCTGAAATTATTAGCTCCATTTATGAGTCAGAGAATTAGCTATGAAGAAAATGCACTCAATAGATAAGCTACAAACAGCATCCCTATCAAAATTGTAAAGCAGAGATAAAACTTAAATCTGGGAACCAGACAGGGGTCTGATTAAAGTAATAGCATAGCAAGTGAAGAATTGTTGGGAATATAGCCACAGTGGTCAAAACAACCTGATACTGTTATAATGAAAGCTACATAGATCAATGGAACAGAATTGAGAACCCAGATGTAAAGCTATAACATACAGTCAGCTGATCTTTGACAAAGGACCAAAAGACATTAAATGGGGAAGAGATAGTCTCTTCAATAAAAGGTGCTGGTAAAACTGGAAATCAATTTGCAAAACAAATGAAGCAAGACCCATATCTCACATCATATACAAAAACAAACTCAACGTGGATTAAAGACTTAATCATCAATGAAAATGTAGGGACAAACTTAGAGGCTCTAATACTTGGCATGAATACACTGTCAAACATAACTAAAAGCATGCAAACACTAGAAGGCAAAATAGAAGACTGGAACCTACTAGAAATTAGCCACTTAAGTGCATCAAAAGGATTTGGCCAAAAGAATAAAAAGAGGCTCCAAAACCTGAGAAACAATTTTTTTTTGCAATGACATGTTAGACATGGGACTAATCTCCAAAATTTATAGAAAAGTAGCAGATGATACAACATTGCTTGCTGAAAGTGAAGAGGACTTAAAATATTTACTGATAAAGATCAAAGAACACAGCCTTCTGTATAGATTGCATCTCAATATAAAGAAAACAAAAATCCTCACCACTGGACCAATAAATAACATTCTTACCAAGGAAGAAAAGATTGAAGTTGGAAAGGACTTCATTCTTCGTGGATCAACTATCAACAGTCACGGAAGCAGCAGCCAAGAAATCAAACAACATATTACATTGGGCAATTCTGCAGCACAAGACCTTTTTAAAGTGTTGAAGAGCAAAGATGTCAGCTTGAGGACTAAGGTGCACCTGACCCAAGCCATGTATTTTCAGTAACCCCATATGCTTGTGAAAGCTAGACAGTGAATAAGGAAGACTATAGAAGAACTGATGCTTTTAAGTTATGGTGTTGGAGGAGAATATTGAAAGT